CTCTCAGGGGTTTCAGGCATGTGTGGAACTAATTTTCCCAGTGCTTTGTTTTCTCTCCCTCCACCCTGTCCCCATGGCAGGTCCATGTTCTGGAAGACTCTTGCCACTGGGTATGGTCTTTGGACAGTGGTCTTGAGGGGCTCAGGTGCTCTGGCTACGTAAAGGAGAACACATCCTGGACAGCAAGAGCCCCAGGCAGGTGTCCTGGCTGTGCTGGTTAGTACAGCACACATCTTGTATGGCACCTTTGGGGCCGTTTACAAGTCTGTACAGGAAGCGCTTTGGGGCAGGAGCCTGGAAGTTCTTTGTAAGCTCTACCATCCCACCATTCCATCTTTGTTTCCCGCCCTTGCTTATCCCTTTGGCAAAACTGTTAGCCTGCTCTGGATTACCTACTGTGTGAGGCTGAAAAGAAAAAGAGCAGTTTTTATTTCAAATTCATACTGTTCAGATGTTCTACTCATTTATACGAGCCACATATAGGACTCGTACAAATTGGCGAGCCTTTCCTATACAGGTACCCCAACATTTATTTTTGAGAAACTAAATTAACTTGAAACAAATCAAGGTATGGGACAAGTAAGTAGTTTTAAAAGTCAAATAGTGTCCCAAGGTTGTAACAAACACCCACAGCCTCCCCTCTCCCCAGCTCTGCTCATATTCCTTTCTACACTTAGCAGTTTCTTCCGGAATTTACCTCCTTAGTTCAGGCTGCTGTATCAAATTATCACAGATAAGAGTGGCTTCAACAACAAACATTTGTTTTTCACAGCTCTGGATGCTGGGAAGTCCTTGATCAAGGGACTGACAGTTCCCGTGTCTGGTGAAGGCCTGCTTCCTGGCTAGGAGATGGCCTTCATGCTGTGTCCTCACATGGTGGAGAGCAGAGAGCGAGCTCTTATGTCCCTTCCTGTAGAGCAACTAACCCCACCATGAAGACTCCAGCCTTAAGACCTGATCCCCTCCCAAAGACCCCACCTCCTAAGACCATCACATTGGGGGTTAAGATTTCAACATCTGAATTTTGGGGTATGTAAACATTGGGTCCACAAACCCTCTGTATTTCTGAGCATTAGGTATACATTGCAATTTCTCCACTCATCAACTTTAGACTTCATCTTTGAGCTTTCTTCCTTTTTAAAATGTTTAAAAATTTATTATTTTTGAGAGAGAGAGAGAGAGAGAGAGAAAGCACATGAGAGGGAAAGGGGCAGAGAGAGAGGGGGATAGAGGATCCAAAGTGGGCTCTGTGCTGACAGCAGAGAGCCTGATGTGGGGCTCGAACTCACAAACCATGAGATCACGACCTGGGGTGAAGCCGAATGCATAATCGACTAAGCCACCCAGGCACTCCTCTCTCTTTTAGATCAAGTTTTTAACCTACTTACCCTTTCCTTTATTTTTTTATTTTTTAAGTAATCTTTAGATCCAATGTGGGTCTTGAACTCACAACCCTGAGATCAAGAATTGCACGCTCCACTGACTGAGCCAGCCAGGCATTCCCTGCCCCCACCTCTTTTTTTAAGATCTTATACCTGTTTTTGATCTTCTTCCAGCTTCTCCAAATAATATCCCAATTTTTGGTTACATCTACATAAAGATTTTCTTTATTATGACTATTGTAACTATAGCTTTTTTTCTTTTTTGATACTTTTTATTTATTCTAGAGTTAATCATTGCTTAGGCTTTGGTACACCTTCCAACACGTTCCATGCCAGCTTCCACCTGGTCAGGCCTGCCAGTTTATCACCCCTCTTTTCTCCTTGGAGATGTTGTTCTTGCGTCCTCAGACACTCACCCCGTCATGCAGCTACCCTCGAGACTGCTACATGGTTCTGGTCCAGAACTTTATTCTACTCCTGTGACAGAGGTCATCCTTCCTGGATCTTGCAGCTTTATCTGTTTGTTTCCAACCTAGTCTTAGTGGAGTTCATTCTTCTCTAATATCCTCAGATGCCTTCTTCTCTTCTCATGTTCAGTTCACAGTCGGCTTGCGTATAGACTCCTAGTTTTGAAATTATTTTTACCTAGAATTTCGAAGGCATTTTTCCCACTGAATTCTGGTTTCCATGCTGCTATTGAGAAGTCTGATGCCATTCAGATTTTTGATCCTATTTTATGACCTAATTTTCCTCTCTCAGAAAGCTTTTATCTTCGGTGTTCTGAAATGCCATAAAAGGATGCCTTTGTTCTTTTATTGTTTGGAAACTTGGTGTGCCCTTCAGTCGGAAGGCTCGTGCCCTTCAGTTCTGGGAAAGTTTCTGGTATTATTTCTTTGATAATTTTATTCTCTTGATTTTCTCTGTGTTCTCGTCCTGAAATTCCTATTTGTCAGATGATGGATCTCCTGGCTTCATTATCCAACCCTAATTAGAAAAAAAAAATCTCCTATTGTCCATTCCCTTCCCTGTCTGTTCTGTTTTCTGGGAAACTTTCTTAGCTTTATTTTCCAGTGCTTCTCCTGACTTTAGATTTATGTTATTATATTTGTAACTTCGGGCATTCCTGTCTCTGATTGGTTCTTCTTGTTTTCTCCATGCCACGCCTTTCTTCATCTCAGGGAAGAGAAATCTTTGTGGTTTTCTTTTCTTTGCAAAGTATGTACTTATACTAGTTATCCGTACTACATGGCAAATTACCCCCAAACACAGTTTTGTGGCTTAAAACAACATTTCCTATCTTACAGTTTTCTGTGGGCCAGGAATCTGGTAGGACTTAGCTGGGTGGTTGTGGCCCAGGATCTCTCATGAGTTTGCGGTCAATGTATCAGCTGGGACTTGAGTGACTTCAGGCATGGATGGAGATGGAGGATCCGGTCCGAAGCTCAGTCATGTGGTTGATGGCTGGAGGCCTCCCTTCATCACCACGTGGGCCTTTCCATATTGCTGCTTGACATGGTAGTTGGCTTCCTCCAAAGTGCTTTTAATTATCTAATCTCAGAGGGAACGATCACCTCTTTTGCCATATCCTATCGGTCACGCAGACCAACCTCGGTAGGGGTTGGGGACCACACAGAGCGTGAGCACCCGGAGGGAGCCACACCGCAGGAGGCTGGCTGGCACAGCACTTGCTCTGAGTGTCACCCATTTGTTGTTCTGGTTTCTGTGGTTCACCCACAGACCTTCTCAAGTATCTGGTGGTCTCTGTCTGTCCCACCACATTGAAGAGTGAAGCATGCAAGCTGATTGGAGGCTGTGTGTATGTGCTTGCATGGGGAGCTTGTAGATGGTCTTTATTTGGGTTCTTCCCAAATTGAGGATTTGACGGCAAGCAGTTAATTTGGGAGGTGAGAGAAGGCCCAGGTGGGTAGTGGCTTGTGGAACACAGACGGGAAGGCCAACAAGAAAGGATGTGTTATGAGGCCAACCACTGCTGTGTGTTTGGAACTCGATCCTGCACAGGACTCTGAGAAATGGGGCAAAACACACCCCTCAGAGCTACCCCGCCTGCATGATGATGAAGCAGTGGCATTTATTCCCTGACTGATTGAGGGCTATGGGGGAGGGTAAATGTCAGGACATGTCTACCTGCTACAAGAGGGCAGAGCAGTCTTCTGAGGTTTCAGAGGAGCCTCCAGGCCTGAGATGTGGGTACCACTGTTGGGAGTCTACAGGAGCACTTGGCAGTGGCTGAGGTCCGAGCACTGACACTGGCCATGGGCTTCACTGCAGGGTGAAGGATGCACGACTTCTGCTTTCTAGGTCGAGTCCCGAATGTCAGTGTATTTGTAAATCTTGTCTCTGGAGGAGGTGTTAAGTCTCTCCAGAGAAGGAACCTGTGATGTTTTGTGTAGGGGGGGGTTCAGGTCTGGCTTCTGGTGTTCTGGAACTGGCAGGGGAGTTGGCTGGGTGGGGCTGCCACTCTCCATATGGACACTTCTATTCAATCCTCTTCTGTTTGGCACTTTGCCCAACCCAAACCTCCGAGAGCTGATAGCCCTGAGTCTGGGTCTCTCTTGTTCACTCCCCCAAGAATGAGCCTCAGGTCAGCCCTCGAGGTCGGGGAGGGGGGCACCTCATTGCATGGGGCATGGGCAGGCTCCACGTGCCTCCATCGGACCTTGCCACATCTGTGCCTCACCCTGCCTTCCAAGCATTCAATTTCCATGATTTGGGGAAGTTCTTTGAGCACACACTAGCGAGGTGCCATCCCCCGCCCTACCCTGCAGGTCATGAGCTTTGTCCCGGTCCTCGCCAGGTGACCCAGCTCTCTCAGCCCCGGACGTCCTCACGGCTGGGGATTCTGCATCTCTCATTCGGTGTGTGTTTCTGCTTCTCCACCTCCTTGCTTAGGGGACGGTTGACAGAAGGCGACAGTGGAAAAGTCTTATTCCCCCGTTTCAATATCAGTCGTTCACAAAAGTTCTTTCAGTCCTTGGGAACTTGCTGTGACATTTCCCTTAGAAAACTGGTTTTCAATAACACGGCTAGTCAACACAGAATTAGATCGGCTCTTCCGTGCTAAGAAACCCAGACATCTCATGTCTCACCCCAATCCAGACTTACTTCTCACTCACGCCAAGTCCGATGTAGGCTGCGCCGCCCTCACCCATCCCGTGGCTAAGCCACCCGTAGTGCCACTCCGCAGCGGCCATGTGGGGCACGCTGGGGTCGCTGTGGTGTGAGCAGGTGGACTTCAGAGCCAGGACCTGAACTGTCCACGACCCACCCGCCTTGCGGTTCCTGCCGGCGTGGCAGGAAAGCCGGGAAACCAAGAGGACGCATGCGCACTCGGAGAGCACAGGGCTCCGCCCCCTGTGAGGGAGTCTGGGAAACCTCGAGGAGCATGCGCACTTGGAGAGCACTGGGCTCCGCCCCCTGTGAGGGAGTCTGGGAAACCTCGAGGAGCATGCGCACTTGGAGAGCACAGGGCTCCGCCCCCTGCGAGGGAGGCTGGGAAACCACGAGGGGCATGCGCATTTGGAGAGCACAGGGCTCCGCCCCCTGTGAGGGAGGCTGGGAAACCACGAGGACGCATGCGCACTTGGAGAGTGGGGCTAGGGCGCCCGCGGATCCCGCTAGTCCAGTCGTCACCTCCGGGGCGCCTTCCAGCCTTAGAATGAGGAAGGGCGCAGACCCAGGGGAGGTAGAAGGGCCTGCGGCGGGGACACGCGGGCCTCCACTGCTGCCACGCCTCCTTCACGGCCGACGCGGTGCCCCTGGTGTCATTTTGCCGCTCAGGGTTTGCAGAGCCCAGAGAGCTGAATGTGTAACTTCGCCCCCTAATTCTTCGGGGACCTGCAGTGGGGAGGACAGCGGACGTCTGGCGGGTCCTGACTTTCGGCCTGGGCTGCTGGCGAGACCTCCGTCACTGCATGCGACCCTCACACCAGCCTGTCCCGCGGGTCTGTCCCTCGGTCCATGTTGGCCATGAAAAGAGCTCGCCCCGCGTGTCCCCAGCGACGCTCACCGGTGAGCCTCGTGGTGTCCTGGATGCTTCGTGTCGCCGACTCGGAGGTCCGCTTCTCCTGTAGGACCCGCCCTGCCGACCCCCGCCGCACCTCCTGCATTCAGCGCAGACCTGAGCGGACAGCGCCAAGGCAGCGGGGGTAAGGCCTGGATGAGGCTTGTGTGTTTGCGTGATTGTGGGCTTGCTGGGCGGCAGTCACGTGCGCTGGTGCCCGGACAGCTGGGGAGGGGGGTGTGTGCGTCCTGACACAGGCCCCCTGGGCCTCTAGGGGCCGAGTGGTCGGCTCACAGTTCTGCGCCATGGCAAGGACAGTCTTAGCCGAGATGCTGTGGGACCGCCCCTCAGGATGGGTGTCTGGCCCGCCTCTGAGCTTGAGCGTGGAGACGCTCTATCCCCGGTCCCCTCCGTGGACCTAGGCACCAATGCGGCACCAGCCTTCAGACCTTGGCATGGCAGAGGCTTCTGTGGGTATGGGCAGTCTCTGGGGCATTGGGGGTGGGGAGAGCCCAGCAGAGCTCGGTTGTTGGGGGGCGGCGTGGTGGGAGAGGCCGTGGGCGTTATACTTTTGTGTTGGTAACGTGCTGACCTTGGCTGGTGAGGAATGCTTAGCACTGAATAGGATTTGGGGGCAGGGTCAGTTGGAGTTCATGATAACTGAGCCTCCTGCACCCCGCTTCGTTCCCCATTGCCCTCCCCACTGTCCCCACGGCTGGGTGTGGGCTCCCTGGCCCTTCTGTAGGTTTGGGGAGCAGTGAACAGGGGTGGAAACCCGTGTTCCTTTTCCGATTTTCACATGCACGGCATGGGACAGAGGATTGTCCAAACGTGGAATAGAGGAAACTGCCACAAAGCCTACTTTTTGTTTCAACAGCTTGGTTGAGATATAATCCGCATAGCCTACAACTCATCATCTGCAGTGTGCGACTGCGTGGCTTTGGGAATGCTCCCAGCTGTGCAAGGACCCCTGCAGCAGAGCAGTAGAACTTTCTAGCCATGACTCCCACGCCTCCCTCTCCCAGGGAGCTGCCGGTCTCCACTCTGTCTCTGGATTGGCCTTTTCTAGACGTTTCCCATCTGGGAAGTGGTCCCCAGATTTCTCAACTCAGTTTCCCGAAAGGAATGTGGGGGTGGCCTTCCCTCCTCTCTTGGCCTTGCTAGTCCTGTGCTGGGAGGCCCCCACCCTGGATGAGGGAGCCGGGCAGGAGGTAGGGGTGGGGCAGGGTGGCCCAGGTGGTTGGCGAGTAGAGTGGAGGGTTGAGATCAGTGTGTGTGAACCCCGGAGGTCCCCAGGTCCTGGGCTGTGCCGGTGTCTGGCAGCCCCGTTCATCTGAGGAGGCAGGGCCCGTGGGCTGGGTGGTGCGTGTGGCCTGTGCCCATTGGGTGCCCTCCGGACGTCTGCACGACCCGGGTTCCCCGAGCTGGGGCTCAGGGCACTGACTACAGACTTGCCGGCACCTGGTAGTGACAGCGTGGGGAGAGGCAGCTATGTTTAGCGATAATTACTCTGTCTTGTGCAGAGGTATTAAGGCATCCTCTCTGGCAGTAGCGGGAATTAGCTCGAGGCTTCACTGACACAGTGGCAGTGACTGCTGCCGGCTTGTCCTGCTTTTGTTACTGACGTGGGCTGTGTGGAGGCAGGGAGGGGGGCAGGGAGGGGGACAGGGAGGGGGACAGGGAGGGGGGCAGGGAGAGAGAGAGCTGTTTGCTCTCAGAGAAACGTGTCATCCTGAGAGCCTTTACCGTGGAGGTGTGTGTCGTTGCTCCTCAGGCAGACACCCTCGGAGGGATGCTGACCAAAGCCATTCATCAAACACATGTTTATTAAAGGCGCCTGATTGCCAGACACGGTCTGGGGGCTGGAGCCCCAGCCCAGCTGTGAACAAAGTCCTTGCTGTCATTCTAGCAGAGGAAGATGAGCATCACACACACAGAGCAAGTGAAAACAAAGCCAGTTCGCATCAGGCAGCTCTTGTGCAGAGGCCTGAGTGAGGCCAGTGAGTGACCTGGTGCAGAGCATTCCAGGAGCTGGGTCAGCATGTGCCAAGGCCCTGTGGCAGGAGGGAAGGGCAGTGAGACAGGCCTGGAGCAGAGCCAGACGTGAGAGAAGGTGTCAGAGGGGAGCACATGGCCAGATCGGGTTTAACTCTTGGATCACAAGAACTCACTTTCTCCCATCCAGGTACTAACCAGGCCCGACCCTGCTTAGCTTCTGAGATCAGACGAGATACAAGAACTCACTTTCTGTTTTCACGTCTTCCACTTAATCTCATGTGTAACGAGCAGGTAGTAAAATGCGTTGATCTGAATTAAGCCCATGGTTTGATGAGTTTTGCCCCTTTATCGTCTCCTTGCCTCCTACCCACAGCCAAGGTGTCCTTGGATCTGATTTCCAGCACCAGATAGTACGTTACATTCTAGAACTTTATGCACGTGGAAGCATACAGTAGGCAGTCTTTGGTGTCTGGCTTCATTCGCTCTCTGGAGCATACTTGAGGTCCTTCCCCGTTGCGGGGTATGTCAGATGCATGCTCCTGTGCTAATACCGGATGGTGTTCCACGGTGCGATGGACAGGTCCCAGCTTGTTTATCCATCTTCGTGCTGACCGACGCTTGCTCATAGCCAGGTTTGGGATCTTACGAGTCAAGCTGCTATGCACATTCCCACACACGCATCTTTGGCCTTCTCTCTGGGGGCGGAGGGCAGCTGTCGGAGGGTTTTGAGTGGAGGAAGGTCCTGATCCGACCTGGGCTGGGCTCTGGCTGCCGCGCTGAGAATAGAATGCAGGGGCGGGTGGAGGTGGGGCCCCCTGCCCAGCACCCCTGCAGGTACGCGATGTGGGTTGAAGCACGTCAGTGCCTGTGCCCCAGGTCTTCCCTCTCGGTTCGGGGATCTGGATGCTTGCAGTGTGAGTGACTCCCCCTCACCCCCCAAACCACAGCCCCGGGTCCCTGCAGGGAACATTTATGTCGGAGTGGCTGTAGGGGAGCAGAGAGGGCCTGCGTGCATGTCAGTTCCGTGATGCATCGGGCCTCAGGCCCCTCGTTAACCCCTGCAAGGTGAATGCCGTCTGCTGCGGTAGGAACGTGTGTGCCCCCAGATTCGTGTGCTGAGATCTGAACCCCCAGTGTGATGGTGTTAGCAGGGGGCCTTTGGGAGGAGCTTTGGTCATGAGGGTGGAACTCTTATGAATGGGATTAGTGCCCTTAAATGAGAGACTCCAGAAGGCTCCTTCATCCCTCCTGTCCTGCACGGACATAGCAAGAAGATGTTGGCTATGACTCAGGAAGCGAGCACCCGTCAACACCGAGTCTGGCGGCACCTTGATCTAGGATTTTGAGCTTCCAGAATGGTGAGGAGTCGTCTGATGTTCATGGGGCCACCCAATTTATGGCGTCCTGTTACAGCATCCGAGCGGACTGAGACGCCATCCTTCGTAACTAACCGCAGGCTGCATATAAGAGATGAAGGGAGGAGGGGTCCATGCTATTCTTTGGACCTTTGCGTCTGGAGACAGGGCTGAGACCTGCTGGGCCAGCAGACCCCGAGGACGGGTTGGGACTCCCTGGAGGACCCTGGGGACGGGCTGGGGCTCCCTGCAGGATCCCGGGGACAGGCTCCCTGGAGGACCCCGGGGACGGGCTACAGGCTCTTTGCCTGGAGGTGCTTGTGTTTTGGGAAGAAACACTGGGAAGAAAGGCGGGGATGATGAGCACGTGCAGCCAGCACTGTCACGTGAGGGCCTTGTGTTCTTTCTGCAGCATTACAGCAGAGGAGGGGCTTGGAGCACAAGCCGTCGTTGCTGGTGGTTCCTCGAAGGAGACCACTCTGATAGGGGCCGTGCGAGGCCTGGAGGAGCAGCGGCCGAGATGCTGAGCGCGGCATTTATAGGAACCCGGGGAACCTGGGCTGGGGTGATAGGCTCCCTGGGGCTCCCGGTATGAAAAGAGCCTCCCTCCACCCGCCGTCTGCTGGCACCTTTGTGTGTAGCCTGCTTTGTCTTGCTCCTGTGGGTCTCTGCCCTGACTCGGTTTTGCTCCTGACAGCCTGGTCGGCCCGGGGCTTCATGAGGTTTCACGCACCCCAACCCCAGGTGAGTAACAGGGACTTTTCATCATCGTGTTTCCTGACAACACCTTCGAGGGAGCCGTCAGTTTCTGCCCGGCACCCGGGATACGCAAACTCTGCTTTCAAGCACAGCCCAGGCTCGGTACACGTGACAAAAGACGGAGGCCGAGTTTCCTAAGAAACAAATCAAATTGTGCGTTTTGGGTATGGAACGAGCCAGGTGGAGGTTTCTTTTTACAGGCAGGAGGTGGGGGGAGCAGGGAGGAAAGATACTAAAAGCACCAGCAGTGAGAGGGCAGGGGGAGCAGAGAAACTGAGGGAGGGAGGGAGCCTGTGAGAGGTGGGGGGGGAGCCACTCTGGATGAAAGGGGCAGATGTAGGGAGGCAGCTTCCACAGGAGGAGCAGGACCCAGTCTAAGGGACCTCTGGGCCTTGCCGGGGCATCTCACCACTTCTTCTGCCTCCCCCCATCTGTCTGCCTGCTGGGGACCCCTCCCCAGTTAGCAAGGCTTGGTCTCAAGAAGCCAGTTTCAGCGGGGGCTCCCCCCCCTCTGTGCCTCCCTTCACTCCTGCCCACGTGGCACTGCATCCTTCATAAAGGAGGTCATCGTGGCCCATGGGAGCTGGATAATGTCGGGGGGCAGGGAAAGCAAAGTGCCCAGTGCCTGGGACCCCAAGAAGCAAGAGAGAGCAGAGGCAGCATCAGGGAGCTAAGCAGGGCGTGAGAGCCGTGGGCACCCTTTGCCTGCCCCTGGGGTCACCTGGTCCTGGAAGCTGTCCCCAGCACCCTCGGCTCACCCCAAGCAGGAGGGCTGGAAGCAGTGACCAGGTGAGGGGGCAGCATGACCGGGTGAGGCCGAATGGGCAGGGTCCTGGCAGCTGCCTGGCGGTGGCTGATGCGTTCTGACTCTTGTCCGGAGGCTGCGTGAGGCAGGGGCAGGCCTCCAGGCCCCGATGGTGGTGAGCTGGGCAGGGCCTCACTTGCACTGATGGTACCCCAGTTACAGAGAATTCCTAGCGCCTTTATCCCGCAAGGCACATGGCGTGAGCTCGGGGCGTGCGTGGGCTTGCGC